CCTGCAACATTGACTAGTGTAGTCTGCTTCTCGTAAGAATGACACTTATGAGCCTATTCTTTAATCAAAACACTTACTAATCACTTTGTATTAGTTATTATTTAATGAATGGCTGTTCATATAACAACCTGTAGTAAAAGATACAAAGTTTGAGTTTTGTTGTAATCAGTGGTATTTTAGCAAATAGATAAATAAGTAAAGGAATGAAATGTACTGTTTCAAACAACAACAACCGTTATTTGGGACTGCATTTATGCCACCTCTAAAAAGTTTGTAAAAAGTCATTAAATATAAGAATGATAGGCTACATATCTGTTAAACGAGATAACTGATTCTCAGGTGTGATTGTTTGCGGAATTATTTCTAGAATCTGAATTAGATATCTTCTGATTAGAGGTTAATTTGCATTCATTATTCACTTCTAATGAAGGTTTATATGTCCATGAAAGATTACAAAGTTAGTATTGCACTTGCTAAAGCTCATACTACCTGGGAAGGTTTACTCACAACAGGCTTCAGAATTTACTTTAATTACTGTATATACTATGTGTTAAGTCAAGTCAAGTCACCTTTATTTGTATAGCACTTTATACAATACTGGTTGTGTCAAAGCAGTTAAACAGGAAAATAGTTTACTTTATAGTAATAGTAATACTTTATTTTTACTTGATCTTTGTGCCACACACAGATAATTGCATCCAATAATGTTGACAGATTCATTCTTTCTGAAGAAACTTACAAGAAAGAACACGTTTTGTGTAAGTACTGAAGCACAAACTTAAACAGATGGTAGGGTTATTACAGTTAACTATAAAAAACATTTTTAATAACTGAAATAAAATAATATATATTAACAAAAAAACAACTTTATTTCAGCTAGTTAATCAGATTAATTTGATTATGATTTAAAATATTATTGTGTTGGGAATCAATCATAATGCGTAGTGTTAGAATTTGATTAGACTAATGATACTTTAAAAGGAAGTAAAATACTGATTTGACTGAACTTTTTTTACTCATTCAAGAACTGTTTCTTACATCTTCACTAGTCAGCTTAAAACTTAATTACAGTTAAAAAGGGGACCTTGTTGGTTCTGTATATTATAATTTTTGCATTTATCACTTCATCAGGAACTCAGATGCTAAGTACGGCTGGATGACTCAATATTACTTGTGAGCTTGTGTTCTTCCTTTTTTTTAATGATGACTTGCTCGTTGTTGCTGTATTCAAGATACTACAGTATATCTGGCACTAAAACAAAGATAACTGAGCAAAGATCAGATCTGAGGAATGCAAATGCTCAGTTTCTACGGAGTTCAGATCATCAACAGTTTTACAGTGCTGGCAGTGTCACAACTAACTGAAAGACATTTGCGTTACTGTTACCCTTATCACATGACTTCTCACAGTACATAAAGAGTATTTCAATAGGAAATAATAGCTACTCTGTCTCATCTTTGCCACCACTTGTTGTTGTGAGTCATCAGCTTTGAAATGCGAGTGGTTTGGGGATGAAAAATCCACAGTGTATTCTTATCCTGAACTGTGCATTGAAACATCTATTTGAATAAATATATTCACAAATGCGCAGAAGAGAAGTGCTGAGAAATCACATTTAGATGGCACTCTTCTTTATTTAAATGGAAAAAAACATGTCTGGCTAATCACTTGGATTAGCACTTTAAAAATAAAAGCTGTTCTTGATTAAGGATACAAGCTGCTATTCTGAGGAAAGTGGACATCTGTATGCAAGCTTTCTTTTCTGTCTTCTTTAACTCATGTTACTGTTATAAATAAGAATGCAATGTATATTTATGGATGAAATGATAAAATAGTATAAATGTAAGTTACGTTAATACATTTTACAATTACATTATGGAAGTGGATTGGCTTTTCAGCAAATGGTTACATCCTTCTATAATCTTTGGTTTAACTGCTCAATTTGGCACTTAATATGAAATATAACTTCATAAAGAATGAATTATATGGTGTTTAGATACATTATGCCTCATAAATCTAAATGAACATGTGTGGTCTTGTAAATGAACACTGGATCGATGATAATCTGTGTTTGTTATACGCAGCAGTTCCTTTTGATTTCCCAAAAATAACAGGTGGTAGTTATCCTGGATTGGTTTCAGAAGATATGTTGCTAGGTGACAGCATTACAAGCAGTGAAGCGCGGCTCCTTGGTGGTTTGGAAAGCTACATTGACACTTGACTGCAACATTGCTCTGATTACTAGATTTCTGTCTTGCTAATGAATTGCACACATTAGACATTTTGTCAATCTAAAAATCACACAGATATTGCTTACTTTGAAAGAATCAACTTGGCTATGTTAGGTTACACAAGCAAAAACATCTTTAAGGAACAGGCAGAAATAACTCCTTAATGTAACAACTGCACATGTTCACAAATAAAGCAGATGCTTCATAAACAAACCAGGAGCTTTGCCCACTTGATGTGAAGTTTTTCAGGCAATTATCCTGATATCAGACCACTGAACCATTGGACTTTACACTAATGAAAATTGGTTATAATTGCTTATAATGAGGCCTCCTGCTAAACATTATAAATAATTGGCTACACTTTTAATAATGCCTCCATCATGAAAATGGGGTTATGGAACTAGATAAGCATTTTATGTTAGGCCTATACAGTATATTATGTTATATTATATTTAAAAATGTTACCTTCTCAGTATTAAAAATAATTGACTACACTTAAGATGCCTCCATGAAAATGGGGTTATAAAATTAGATGACAGTTTTATTTTATTTTATTTTTTAAATCTACCTTCTCAGTATTAAAAATAATTGACTACACTTATAATAATGCATCCACCATGAAGATATTATATTATATTATATTATATTATATTATATTATATTATATTATATTATATTATATTAAAATCTCAGTATTAAAAATAATTGACTACACTTTTAATGCCTGCAGAATGAAAATGGGGTTATGAAAACTAGATAACAGTATTTATTTGCTTGTTTGTTTTACGTTCTATATTAAAACAAGGGTTAGGGTTAGGGTTAGGGTTAGGTTAGGGTTAGGGTTCTATATTAAAACAAAAAAGTAATGTTTTTTGTCTAGATTATTTCGCTTTCCTTTTTTATTGTAAAGCATAAAAGTTTAAATTAGTGAGATTTACACTTAAAAACATGCACTACTATTTATGTTGACATGAACTGTCTCTGTTCATCTGTAGTCTCTTTTGCACTCACACTCATGCACAGCAATGTTAGCTCACGTACAGTCGGTTGGTCCCAATGTGTGACAATTCATTAGGTGAAGTAAACATAGCAAAACATTTCCCTAAACAATTTATGGAGTGCTATAAAGGTGTTGATATGTCAAGCCTGTGGTATTAGCAAGTGCAGTAAAAAATATATATATGCAAAATATCTGTTTCTTGTCTATTCAAGTTTCAGTGTTCTGCTCTGAATCGGCTCTCATGCTCTGAGGATGTGTCAATATCCGCGGGACATGTTTGAAAACTACTATTTCCATAGGGCGTTTTTAATGAATGATGTATGCTTGATTGTTTAAAGTTTTCAGTTATCATTTTCATCATCTAATATCTGGTTTGTGACAGTTTTGTGGAACACTGACATTTTTTATTTTTTCAATCAGCATAATTGTTCATGCTTACATGAAGTGGTTAATTATTTCACAATATAAAGCTGTTTTAAAGTCTGAGCAAATGTTTGCATTTTGCCTACCCTTTTTCTGCTTGGCACACCTCTGAAGCAGAGGAGCTATAAATATCTCAAGTGATTGGCTAAATCCAGTGTTGCCCATCTGTTAATTAACAGGAAGCTTGGGTAGAGGATAGGTGGGACATCTGCACTGACCTATGGGAAGGAAGTGATTTACTCAGCCTGTAGTGTTGAGCTCATCTCAGTGTCATCCTAGCATAGATGGACCTCTCAAAAGTTAGAGTTGTCCCAAATCCCCTTAGCATCTCCCAATCTGTGCCATGTGATGGTGAACAATGTAAGCTTCTTAGGTATAATCCATCCCAGGGAGAAGAGGGCTGACACAGCTGCTCCTCGCACCTCATATGCCTCCTCTGGGAGTCTGGCATGAGGAAAAAGGGATGCATGTGAAAGGGCATGATAGACTGGACTGACCCAAGTCATCAGCTCCAGGCCACAAATAAATCACCACATATAGTGGACACAACACATATTTGGACAGTTAAGTTGCACTGTATGGCATTGCATTTTTAAACTGGGGTACAGGGACACTAAAGGAATGCTTTGTTTGTGGGTCTCCATAAAATTTGAATGTAAATCAGATTTTACACTCAACAGACTCAAAAACCATTGTTGTACATATACATTATTACAGTATATACCTTAATTATCTATTATATACAGTATATCATGTGTATGTATGTGTGTGTGTTTGTTTATTTTTTTATCTTATTTTTTCTTATTTTTATCTTTTAATATTTTTTTTTTCTTGTCATATTTACTTGGTTTGTGTTTAATGTTTTGGTAATATTATATGTAAACACAATCATGCAAATAAAGTACTTTAAACTTAAAAATGAATCGTAGGATTTTACAATATATATATATATACATATATACATATATATATATATATAAAATCATGAGAAGTTATTTTATTTCATTGTCTATATTGTAATTATGTTAATTATACATTTTATTATAATTATGTTTCTTGTTTATGTAAATAGTTTCCATATATATATATATACTGTATATAGTACATACTACTTTATTATTGTCATTATACTATATACTATAGCACATTAATACTAAAGCAAAACACAGTGTTAAAGCAGATATAAATTATGAGGCAATATTAGGAATATTATTCAATATTAACACACAATGTGTTCATTAATGTTTGTCTGTCAATATACTTCTTTTCCTAATGTTCTGACAGTATTTCTAAACAGTATCAGTCTCTGCAGGCAGGTAATGAATTGAGGAGGTGTATGGTCATCATCAATGTCATTTCCACACAACATCAGAGAGAACAGAAATAGCTCTTTTTGTCCCTGCAGTCTATCACACAAGGGTACGGCTCTCAGCCCTGAGGCATGTCTTTGATGCATGTGACCTATGTCACACACACATACCTAGTGTTAAAATGTGGTTAGCTTTATATTTTGAAATGTTACGACAAGTCTGGAGAGAATCACATCACGTTAATGTTCCATTCATATTTCATTATCTTACAAATGTTGAGCTAATGAGAGTCAGAACTGAGGCACATCCTGGTTTGTTTTTGTTTCCATAGATTACCTCTGCGGTCCAGAACAGAACATACACAAGATCGACTTCACCAGGTTCAAAATCCGAGACATGGAGACAGGCATGGTTCTTTTTGAGATCACCAAACCCCCTACAACAGGTAGGCAAGGAGCAGACCTCTCAAACTCACTTCCTCACTCTACCTACACAGGCTGCACATTTAAATGCAAGGCTCATTTCGATTTTTTTGCCCATAAAGCCCTGATTTTCATTTAGATGCAGTGCGCTGCACAAGAGCCCTTCAATGGCTCATTTGGTAATGCCGACCCCTTTCTGATTCACAGAGAGTGGGGAGGACAGAACAGACTTTGACCAGAATGCCGGACGCTTTGTGCGTTATCAGTTCACCTCCGCTTTCCTCCGACTACGGCAGGTTGGCGCCACGTAAGTGCAATCTGTGGCAGGATTACACTTGATCTAAATTGCAACCTAAAATTAGCCTGAAATCACACTTGAATCTGTTTGACTTAACCTTTAAAGGGGACGTATCATGATGAATCAAGTTGTTCTTGATATTTTGAGATAAATGGGTTAATTGTACAAAAACAAACAAACAAAAAAAACATACTTTTTCACAACTTCCTTCCAAGTGAAAAAAGACCATTACAACATTTCAACTCATGACCCATTATGTCACAAGGAGGTAATGAGGAGAAAGTAGGATACCATTAGTCCTACACACAAGAACTAAAGATAAGTGTAAAATGTAATTAAAAATTAGTTTAAGGTAATTGTGAGATACATTTTAAAATAAGAAAGTCACATTGTCACACTGTGAGATATACTGTAAAATTGCAATTATGTGAAAACTGCTGAAGTGGCTTAATCTTTTAAATAAATAATGAATTTAATAATTATATAATGTGTGTGTGTGTGTGTGTGTATGTGTGTGTGTATAAGCTATGTTACATTTGAAATTAGACAAACATTTTTAAATAGAAGTCTTAAAGGAAGAAGTCTTCTTATTCAGTTTTATATTTATTTATACTTTTGTTCAGCAAAGAGGCATTAAATTAATCAAAAGTGACAGTGAAGGCATTTATAATATTACTAAAGATTTCTATTTCAAATAAATGCTGTTGAACTTTCTATTTATCAAAGAACCCTGAAAAAAGTATAACAGTTTCCATAAAAATATTAAGCAGCACAACTGTTTTCTACATTGGTAATAAAAAGAAAATTCTGCATATTAGAATGATTTCTGAAGGATCATGTGACGCTGTAGACTGGAGTAATGATGCTGAAAATTCCGCTTTGCGTCACAGGAATAAATTACTATTGTAACTGTATTAAGCCAAAAAAAATAGTTGTTTTTCATTGTAGTAATATTTCACAACATTACTGTTTTTACTGTATTTTTGATTAAATAAATTCAGACTTTCTGAGTATTAGAGATTTTTTCTAAAACATAAAAAATCTTACCAACCCTATAATATGGAAGAAGCCATTTTCATTGCCACAAAATCCATGTGTCCTTAAACGTGTCCTTTCCCACCTTCACAGGGTGGAGTTCACTGTAGGCGATGTTCCCATCAACAACTTCCGAATGATCGAGAGGCACTATTTCCGTGAGCAGCTGCTGAAGAGCTTTGACTTTGAGTTTGGCTTCTGCATCCCGAGCAGTAAGAATACCTGTGAACACATCTATGAGTTCCCACCACTCTCTGAAGAAATAAGTAAGTTATAAATGTTTTTTATGAACTCAGAATTTTGCTATTGATTAGTTTGTGATCTTGTGGCTGGACCTAATATACATCTAACACTGTGTTTCTTGTATCCCTCCATAGTGCGTGAAATGATCCTTCACCCCTATGAGACGCAATCCGACAGCTTTTACTTTGTGGACAACAAGCTTGTGATGCACAATAAGGCAGATTATTCTTACAACGGTGGACCGTAGGAAGCCTCGCTCACCTCTTGCAGAAAACTGCATTGAGCTGCAAAGCAACTGGCAGAGGAGCATCTACTGACAGTGGCATCTAGTCATCTAATCTTATATGTGATGATGCATTTGGTTAAAAAAAACAATCTCAGGACTGTGTGTGTGTGTGTGAGAGAGAGAGAGAGAGAGAGAGAGAGAGAGAGAGAGAGAATCTAACTCAGAATGGCCCAGTACTGCTTTTTTCCTTAGAATCATTTAAAGTATGTGATAACTCTGTCTCTTTAAGTATATGAGTGTGCCTGTGCACATGTGCATTAATTGCATGCTCTGTTTTTATGTATTTTTAAAAGCCCAAAGACTAATCATTCTAAATAACTCTGATTTGTGACTAAATGTTCTTACAATGTTTCTCAAGGCTTCTAAAGTATAAAAAGAGCGTCATGTAGAGTGAGTTGGAGAGACAGTGCCCAATGCAGTGTGTTTGAACCTTTAAAGGAAGGGATACTGTCAGGAACTCTGTATTTTGCCCTAACATTGCACCCACTTCCTGTTGGCCTCAATGAAAGGGCCTGATTGTCTTTCATTTTTCTCACTTTCATTTTTGAATGCTCGTAATTTGGTAGATGATATAAATCTGTTATTTATATTAATATGCTCTTTTCTTACAATGTTTCTCAAGGCTTCTAAAGTATAAAAAGAGCGTCATGTAGAGTGAGTTGGAGATACAGTGCCCAATGCAGTGTGTTTGAACCTTTAAAGGAAGGGATACTGTCAGGAACTCTGTATTTTGCCCTAACATTGCACCCACTTCCTGTTGGCCTCAATGAAAGGGCCTGATTGTCTTTCATTTTTCTCATTTTCATTTTTGAATGCTCGTAATTTGGTAGATGATATAAATCTGTTATTTATATTAATATGCTCTTATTTATATTGATATACACTGCCACACATATTTTTAATAGCATCTTTTGTCAAAAATAGTGATAGATATCTGTGTCAATTGTTTCGTGCAATTTAACAAAAAAGAGAAAAATAAAAATTCCAAAGTTCTTTAAATCATCATGTTTGATTTAATTAATTTCCTTTACACATAAAACTCCTCCATAGTGATGTAATTCAGATAAAATAATATTTAAACTGTACAACACTATCATCCTAAAGTTTATTTTATGCTCTCCAAGGCTGCATTTATTTGATCACAAATATAATAAAACAGTAATTTAACTTGTTAGTGCTTTCGATGTGTGCTGCTATGGGAAGACAGTATAAAAAAGAGGCAACCACACCCCCCAGTGGATGCCAAAGCAAATGCAAACAACAGTCAATACTGACTATATGACAAGTCCAGACCACCTTATTTCAAAATTACTAACCCAAAGACTTTTATACATTTAAAAATAACACTTGCAATTGTGAAATGTTATAACAATTTAAAATAAGTGTTTTCTATTTGGATACATTTTAAAATTTAATTTATACCTGTGATGACAAAACTGAATGTTCTGCTGATGTGGTGCTCGAGAAACATTATTATTAACACTGACAAAAGGTGTGCTGTTTAATATATAAATTGTATATATATTGTATAACTATGACTCTAATTTTGAGATTTTGCCAAATCGAAAATGATGAACCATTTGAAGAATTTTGACAAACAAAAATAACTGTGACCTATGCTTGCAGAGATCTAGCAAAAATCCTGCAAATTCGGGAGATCTGTTTTAACTTGTTAGTGCTTTCGATGTGTGCTGCTATGGGAAGACAGTATAAAAAAGAGGCAACCACACCCCCCAGTGGATGCCAAAGCAAATGCAAACAACAGTCAATACTAACTATATGACAAGTCCAGACCACCTTATTTCAAAATTACTAACCCAAAGACTTTTATACATTTAAAAATAACACTTGCACAAAAGCAAATAATATTACTATATTGTTTAATTTCAGCAAACAATATTAAGACAATTTAGGCCACATTCAAGTGATTTTGAGCATTAAATGCTTACAGAACTTTTTGGAATTACCAAAAATACCAATGGAAGGATTTTAGAACCCACTAGGGGTCTTCAGCAAACTTAAGGGAACCTCAAAATGACTTAAAATAAGATAAAACAAGCATTAAAATAAGCTAAAACAACAACAAAAATCAAGATATTTCTTATTTTAATTCAACCTATCAACAACTCCATTTTCTTTGAAGAAACAGGGTTCTCACTGTCCCACTGGAAAACCTGGATATAAGAGGTAGCCTAATTATAAAGGTAAGATCTAGACCTAGAAAAGTTAAGTGAATTAATAAAATCATAACTTCATAGGCAGTTTTATGAATATTCATTTTTCTAGTTATGCCAAGCTCTAGAATATTTTATCAGGTAGAAACTGTGAGTAAATATATGTATCTGTAATCATCATCCAGTAAATCAGGAAAAGTCATGGCGTCTTTGAAAATTCCTATAGACAATGGATGTCTTGGAGTCAAAAAGGTTGGTACACTGTAAAAAAAAAAATTTCCAAGTTGTAAATAAAATAACGATTACTGGAGTATGTTTTACAAGAAAATGCTATTTAGTTATTCTACTTCCAAATTTCATGTTTAATTCAATGTGTTACCTGCTTTGTAATTAATTGTGAAAGTTCCTGGTAATTTCTGAGTAAAAATTGTTTCTACACCAAATTGTTTCAGTGTAGAACCACTGGTTAAGTGGGATTGGACAGCATATACATTTAAGTATTTAAAACAAAAAACTAATGTCATTTTTATAACTCAAGCACACCATTCAGCATAGAAATCATACTTTTTAGACATTCAAAAATATAAACTTTTTTCTATTTTGGAAAACAAAGATGACTTTGGACGCAACGCACAGGGTTTTTTTCTCATAGCAGAGGAATAGGAGTTGTGTAGAGCCCACTGAGATAAAGCTCAGAAATGCTGCCTTGCACCCCACCGTCAGTCTCCGCTAAACCCCCACAGACCCCCACGCTATCCTGTGTTTGAGTGGGACTGTCCATGACTGCCAGTGAATCCAGAGCGAGGCTGTCATTCCTTAGCTGCTCCCAAAGATTCCCTTTAAACAATGAACACGGCATTAACAACAAAGGAGCTCTGTTGCAAACATGGCTAATGTTGCAAACTCAATCTTACCATGTAATTGTAGATCTGTGAGGCTGGGATTTAATGCATCAACATCGTTACTGATTTCTCCATCCAGCAGCAGCTCCTGCATGCTCGCTGAAGCGCTGTGACCAGCCTGCAGGGCGGTGCTGTAGCTCGGTGGGGTGTGTGCTGGTAAGGGAGAATCCATGCAGCCTGTCCTGGGACTGGAGGGATGCCCGACACTGGGCTGATGGGTGACAGGAGGGTAATATGAGAAAGATAAAGGGTCTGGGGATATGTAGGGGGGAGGCGGGATGACAGTTTGAGAGGGTAAAGTGTTGTAGAGAGACTTCTGATGCAGAACACTAGTGTCATGGACAGGTTGGTGTCCGTAGGCAGGATGCATAGCAACTCTTAAAGGTTGAGAATGTGAATGGCTGCTTGGTAGACTGAAGTGAGCTCCAAGAGACTTAAATTTTTCAGGTCTCTCCCCAAGAAGGCGTTCCAGCTCCTCTAAAACAATGAGCATAAATACACATTTTTAATATACATCATATAAATAAATATATTACAATATAAACAAGTAATATCGTGTAATATCTCAAAAGTCTGGGGTCAGTAAGATTTTCTTTATAGAAATTAATACTTTTATTCAGCAAGGATGCATTAAATTGATCAAAAGTGACAGTTATGTAATGTTATGTAATGTCACATACATTTTGTTCTATTGAACTGATTATATCAAATGCAATTGAATGTATCAGTTTGCCCAAAAATGTAATGCAGCACAACCATTTTCAACATAAAAGGGGTCATGACATGAAAAATCACATTTGCCTTGATCTTTTAGCATATAAGAGGTCTTTGTACCATTAAAACATCCTGCAAGTTTCATAACTTAAAACGTCCTCCGCATTGTAAACAAAGCATTTATTTAATCAAGCTCCAAAAAACAGCTTGTTTGGATCTGAGGTGGCATGTGACGTCACAAGGGCACAAACATTTGCATAAACACCGCCTCCAGAGCAAGACATCGACAAATAGTCATCGTCTCACCATAGGCCCTGCCCTTTCAGTCGCTTAACAGCTGAATGCGAGTATCGCGTAGCATCCAAAGCAAATAGAACCCACTATAATAACTGCCACTGTCTTGTCTGCACTGGATATAGTATATAGATGCGAGTTTGCTTTCTGACACAAGCCACACAATCCATTTTCCACATACAGTATATATTTTTGTTTTGTTTTGTTTTGTTTTAAAAACTTCACCAACATTATAAGTGAACATCAAGGAACATATTAAAATAAAAAAAATCCATGTCATCACCCCTTTAATCATAAGAAATGTTTATTGAGCACCAAATCATTATATTCAAATGATTTATGAAGGATCATGTGACAGTGAAGACTGGAGTAATGGCTGCTGATAAATCAACGGAATAAATTCCATTTAAAAATGTATTAAAATATAAAACAGTTCATTTAAATTGTAATAATATTTGACAGTACTACTATTTTTACTTTATTTTTGATCAAAAATAAATGCAATCTTAGTGAGCATATATAATAAAACTTTAACATAAAAAAAAATCATACAACCCCAAATGTTTGAGATGTATTTATTTTTTTATTCGCTCAATAAATACTAAATATACATTGTCTTTCTTTGTCTATTTTGAACATATATTTTTATTATTATAAAACAGATATAATTGTAGAATTTTATTATTATTTATATTTGTAAACATTTTAGCATTTAACATGAAAACATTTTGTATAAAAGGATAGGAGCATGCATAAGTACTGTACACAATATATTTACAATAATCATATAGCATAGGTGAATTTGGTTTAATCTGGGACATTTTTTGCACATTTTATGTTCAGACCAACAAATACGAACTTGAATATTACAGTATTTGCCTAATGGCAGCTGATCACTTTGCGCACCTGGTCGGGCCATGCTCCTCCTGACAGTCAGGGGATCTTTACGTCTCCACTTGTGAAGTTCCTCCTGCATCTTCTCTACCTTCGCTGGGTTCAGGGCCCACAGGCAGCCCTTTCTGGAGGAGTTCCCATTCTTGTTCTCCACTTTCTCAAAGCATTTGTTCAAAGAGAGGTTGTGTCGGACAGAATTCTTCCAGCCATCAGGTGCTGTCTGAGAAATCACAAATGAAATAGTGGTTCACTGTGGCATTGTAAAGTGGTTGCTAAGTTGTTATAGGTGGTCACTAAGCGGCTACGGTGTTCTGAGTAGTTGCTGTGTGGTTTCTAGAATATTCTAAGGTGTTCACAGAAAGAATTGAATCTAAAATAGATTGTGCCAGTCATTTCTTTAACCAAACATCTTTCTTACAACCCTTCCCTCAGTGAAGTCAACATTGGATCGGAATGGATCTACATGTTGACCTAATGATGAGCCAAAATAATGTCACATTGTAAATCCCTTTTCCAGCACAGTGCCAAGAGGAGGGTGATCCAAATAATCACTAAGCGGCTACGGTGTTCTGAGTAGTTGCTGTGTGGTTTCTAGAAT